AAAGCAGAAATTCTCATCTGATTCGCAAGGTTTCATTTTAGATATAATCTAGAGAAAATTCAGTTGCTTTCAGACGTCCAAATCACTTTTTTTTGGTTCATAAACGAAGTATTAAGCCAAGTTCCATAAAAAATCGTGAGAAATATTAAGAATAAGAAAAAAGTCGGGAGAAATATATTGTAAATCGGGTTGGCGGGAGAGCGGTCGAAAATCGGGAGTCTCCCGCCTAAATCGGGAGAGTTGGCAACTCTGATCACCACATGACTATCTACACACGACAGTTACAAAATGACTCATGCAGCAATGTGTAAACAATTCTTTTTTTTTTTTTTAAATATTTGTAACTAAATACCACACAATATGGTAATTTTTATGTTAAATGTACGCTTAGCGACGATTCCTGACATCAGCTAATTGCAGGGTGAAATCTTGAAGAGGATAGATAAATTTGACAGAAATTTCTTTCTATAAAATAGATTTTGTAAATGATAATCATAGGCCAAAAGATCCAGTTGGGTGAAGAAATATTGGATCTCCTATGGAAATCGAAAGAAGTCTCGCAAGAAGAATATACTAAAGAATTTGAGTCATGTGAGATTTACAAGGAGAAATTAATAGCATCCGGAGTGAAAGTGATGCAAGTCACTGTGAAAATGGAGAAAAATTTGCTGACTCCATGCATCTGTAAACGAAACCAGAACTGTTAATTCAAGAGCAACGGCAACGAATTAAGCTTCCGAAAATAAATTTAATTGAATTTACAGGTGATCCACGAGATTGGTTGAATTTCTGGAATACTTTTAGTAAGATACACGAAGATCTAGTTCTAGATGATCATTTGAAATTCGTATATCTGATTCAGGCTACTGCTGCCAAATCGAAAGCACGAGAAATAGTGCAGAGCTTCCTGTCAACTAAAGAATATTATCCGTGCAGAGCTTCCCGTCAACTAAAGAAAATTATTCGAAAGTCATCGAACAGTTAACCGTTTTAGACGTGAAGATATTCTTATACATGTGTACGTTCGCGATTTATTGAATCTTGTGTTGATAAATAATAGTGCAACCAAAAAAGACTTTACGCTATTATCGTTGTATGATAGTGTGGAAACAAAACTGCGTGCTCTGGAATCTCTCGGTTGACTGAAGATAAATGAGTCAGAATTCTCAGTTGTGTCTTGTTTATGTTCCGATTTTAGACAGTTGTGTCTTGTTTATATTCCGATTTCTCTTGCAATGCGACCATTAAAGCTTCATTCTGCTTTATTAATTCTTCAATTAACTTCTCCATCCTTTCAAAAGAAAAATAAAATAACTTTCCTACCTTTTGCAGTTTTCGGGGAATTTCCTAATACCAAGTTTCAGTTTTGCTACTACTTATGCATGTAACCGAGTACGGCGAGTCGAGAACGATTTTCTTCTTCACACACCTTCGTCGCCAATATGTTGTGTCTTGCGGTGTGGGTTTATTGAAGTGCATGACGCAACCAAACAGACTAGTTCACGGCACAAGACAAACAAGACCAAATTTTTGTTTCTTTTGATAAGTTCGATGAAACGGTAGAAAATTTTGATTCGTTCATAGAACTATTTGAGTCTTTTTTTGGACATTCAAAATGTTCCAGAGGCAAAGCGTGGGAGAGTTCTGATCTCAAGCTTGAATGCGAAATTGTATAATTTGTTGAAAAATTTACTCTCTCCGGATAATCCTTCAGAAAAAATTTTACCGAACTAAAAAAGGTTCTTAAGGATCATTTAAATCCTAAAGCTTTAATAATACCTAGTCGGCACATGTTTATTAATAGGAAACAGCATGAGGGAGAATCAAATATTAGTTATGTCACTCAATTACGCTCGTTAGCGAGTCCTTGTGAATATAAAGAGGATATGCTAAATACAATGTTAAGGGATGTTTTCGTTAGCGGTCTACGAGATCATAATATCTTAGGTCGATTATTTCAGGAAGATAATATCGATTTAAAGAAAACTTTAAAGATAGCCTTGGCGATGGAAAAGGCGGTTAAGGGTACAAATGAAATTATAGGAAATTCCGTAGAACTGAAAGTACTTAAAACCAAGAAAAATGAGTCCAAACCGCGGAAACAAAACTTTGTTGCTAAGAATAATAAAGGTAAAAATGAAACTTGTTGCGTTGCTTAGGAGCAATCACAAAAAAAAACACTGTAGATTTGCAAAATGATCGCTTTGTAAATTGACTACGAAAGGCTTTATTTTTAGAAAAACGACAGGTTAAAAAGAAGTTAGGCAAAATGATTGATTCAAAATGAGGTCCCCATTAGGTTAGCTCTAGAACGCACAGTTAAGAGAAACGAAAAGTAGTAGTAGTAGTAGTAGTAGTAGGTTTCCTGGCGCAAAACCTTAATGATTATATGCGCCGAAACTCATGTCAAATATTCTTAAATACAGACATATAAAAACAAATGGACAAGATAAAAACATACTAGCATTAAAAACAATGATGAAAATGATATGCAAAGATACAATGCTTAAAATAAACAAATACACACATCTCATATAATTATCACAAGTACAAAACACTAAGCCATCAAACATAGCACATATTAAAATGCATACTATTAAAAACAATAAGACAGGACAACAGACTCAAATTAAATTAAATAATAAATACCTGTTCTTTCAAGTAAAGGAACAAATTTGAGTTGACCTCTTTCCCAATTATATGATCAAGAGGCAAGTCACCTTTCTTAAAATGTTTTAAACGAAGATTTTTAAGGTACGGACACTCTATTAAAAAATGGCTAACTGACATTTCTGAATAACAGTTTGGGCACACCGGTTCACTCTCAGTTTTTAATAGATAACTGTGTGTAATATACGAGTGACCAATTCTCAGACGGGTTAACAAAATTTCCTCCTTCCGGTTCCTAGTGGGCTCCCAACATTCAATTTTTGGTTCGACCCTTCTCAGTTTATTTTCCGGCTGGACATCCCAGAGTTGCTGCCATTTTTTCAATAATCTGTCTTTGATGACTTTATGGATGTCACTAAAGGGGACGAGGCGATGTGTCAGATGAATTGCAGATTTAGCTGTAGCGTCTGCCAGCTCATTCCCTTTTATACCTACGTGTCCTGGAACCCAACAGTACAGGATGCAGTACCCACGGCTTTTTAATTTAAGATTAAGGATTAAAATGTCAACCACGATGGGGTTCTGAGTATTGTAATATAAATTTAAGGATTTCAAAACACTAAGTGAGTCTGTATATATAATGAAATTTCTTTGATGTAGCTTTGAAATAAAAGAAAGCGCATAATAAACAGCATTTAATTCTGAGGTGAAAACGGAGCAGGCATCATGAAGTCTTCTACCCTCCATGTGGTCTTCAGTAACAAAGGAGGCACCAACATGTTCTACTGATTTTGACCCATCCGTGTATACAGGAATGTAACTAGAGTGTTTGTGCCTGTAGTCAGAAAAAGTTGTTTGTACACAAACTCATTAGTGTATTTCTTGCCTAAATGTTGGAAAATATCTAGAAGCCGAATCTGAGCATCCTCCCAAGGTGAGATTTCAAAATACTTTGCTGGCTGAGTAGTGAGATCTCTCATGTGGTATTTCTCGAGTAGTGAGTTAACCCTAAGTGAGAAGTAAGGCACATGGGATGGTCTGGCCTGAAACAAGAACTTGTAACTGTCATCAATGTTAGAAACATTGGTTTGGGTGATCAGGAAGTGACAACACATTGAAATGATAGCAGAGTGACAATTGCTCACGCCTTAAATGCAGCGACGGTTCGTGGCAGTCAACATAAAGACTTTGGACAGGAGATGTTCTAAATGCACCAGAAGAAATACGCAGGGCCTGATGATGAACAGGATCTAATTTTACTAAAATGGAAGGCCTTGCAGACCCATAGACAACTGAGCCGTAATCTAGTTTGGAGCGTATAAGTGCTCTATAAATCCGGAGTAACGAAGTACGGTCTGCACCCCAGGAGGTGTTCGCCAGGACTTTCAAAAGGTTCAGTCTCCTAAAACATTTCTTCCTTAGATACAGGATGTGTGGAAGGAAAGTTAATTTCCGGTCGAACATCACTCCTAAAAATTTTACTTCAGGTTCCACTGGAATTTGTGATCCTTCAAGAAACAGCTCAGGCTCAGGATGGAGGTTGCGCTTCCTGCAAAAGTGTATGCATACTGTCTTCTGTTTAGAAAAACTAAATCCTTCTTTCTTTGACCATTCCTGGATCTTATTAAGAGCGATTTGCAATTGCCTCTCTATATATCTCATGTCTGCACCTTGACAGCAAATGTGAAGATCGTCAACATATAAGGAACCTACAACCGTAGGAGGAAGTTCTTTTAGAACAGAGTTGATTTTTAAGATGAACAAAGTAACGCTTAGTACACAGCCTTGAGGCACACCCTCTTGTTGAGAGAATACATCTGATACAGCAGAGAACCAATCCTAACTTGAAACGTTCTACCCTTCAAAAAGTTTTGCAGAAATATTGGCAAGGTTGCCGCGTAATCCAGCGGTGTGAAGATCAAGCAAAATCCCATGTCCTCCATGCTTTGTCGTACGCCTTTTCTATGTCAAAAACACAGAGACTAGGTGGTTTCTTTTGACAAAGGCTTTACGAATTGAGGTTTCCAAAAGGAGCATATTATCAACAGTCGTTCTGCCTTTACGAAAACCACTTTGATATTTGGATATTATATTGTTCTTTTCTAAATAATAGACCAAGCGGCAGTTTACCATTTTTTCGAAAAGCTTGCAAACGCAACTGGTAAGGGCGATGGGTCTGTAGTTGGTGGGATTCTTTGGATCTTTCCCTGGCTTAGGTATCGGAATGACTACAGCTATCTTCCATGCATTGGGAAAGTTATGCTCCTTCCACACCCGATTATACAAAGTGAGAAGGGCATTCAGTGACTTACAGGAAAGATGCTTCAGCATTTCGTAACTGATGCCATCTGGACCAGGGCAAGACTTATGTGTCTGTAATAAAGCTCTTCTTAATTCAAAATGGGAAAATTCGCAATTGTAAGGCTCAGAGTTGGCAGAGTTGAACTTAATGGGAATATTTTCAGCATGTAGCTTAGCAGACAGAAATGTTGGGGGATAACTGCAGCCATTAGAGATGGCTGCAAAGTTTCACCAAGGGTGTTTGCAATTTCTTCCGCTGTGCTGATCGTTCGGCCGTCTTTTTCCAGGATGGAAAGTGAGTGGTCTCGGTATATTCCACAGGCTTTTCTAACTCTTTCCCATACTCGCTTACTGGATGTTGAGGCTGTTATCCCAGACACATAAGATATCCAGGAATTCCTCTTACTCTCCCGTCGTATTTTCCGTGTGTTTGCTTTAGCTTTTTTGAAAGCAATAAGATTTGGGAGTGTGGGATATCTTCGAAAGTGTCCCCAGGCTTTTCTCTGCTGTCTTAGAGTTTTCTGGCATTCTTGATTCCACCAAGGTTTCGAGTATTTTGGAGGTTTTGCTGAGGTCAGAGGTATAGAGGCTGTAGCCGCTTGGATTATAATGTCAGTTATGGCTTTCACTGCATCGTCGACCGGCACATCGTTCACTACTTCATCCGTGAGCTCTGCAAGAGAGGAGAAAAGCTCCCAGTCTGCCCTTTCAAATATAAAGTTTGGGGGCCTTACGACGGGACTCATTCCTGCCCTAGCAAAAGTAACAAATATCGGGAAGTGGTCACTGTTGTGAGGATCATCTCCAACACTAAAAGTACAGAAGGGCAAAAGAGAAGGTGAACAGATGGCAAGATCAAGAGCGTGAAATGTCCTTGTTGGCGCATGGAAGTAGGTATCCTGACCATTATTGAGAAGACAAAGGCAATGATCTTCTATCATCTGCTCAATTTGTCTACCTCGAGGATTTGTATCTCTACTTCCCCATAACTGACTATGTCCGTTAAAATTCCCCATGATAATAAACGGCTCTGGCAGCTGTTCTATCAACTCATTTAGCTGTCTCTGATCGATAGCTTCATTAGGAGGTAGATATATGGAAATGACAGAAACTAATCCTTTAATATTAGCTTGTATAGCTACCGCTTGAAGGGATGTTGCTAACGGAAGGACAGTTGACGGATAGTCATGTGAGGTGAGAAGGCCTACACCTCCACAGACGCGTTCACTAACAACATTGTCCTTTCTCGTAAATGAAAATCTCCTAAGTTTGGCTTTGCTATTAGCTTTGAGATGTGTCTCCTGTAAAGCGAAGCAAACTGGCCGATGTTCATCAATCATGTTCTTAACATTATAGAGACTCTGATGGAAACCACGACAGTTCCAGGAGATAAGGGTAGCCATTATGAGTTTTTATTTCCCCGATGCTGCTTCTTTGTCAGACGAGGAAGCAGATTTCTCGGAAATTCAAGTCCGGCTTCAACTTCCATATCATCAAAGTCAGAGCTCAAACTTTCGAGTGAACTGTCAGTTCGACTCCTATGCTTAAGAATAGGAGTTTCGGATTGTTTCAGTAGATTTGGTTTACTTGATGATGCGGAATTGTTTCTAAAGGCATATCCTGGGTTTTTATTGTTCCTGTTACTTTGTTTTGAGTGGCACTAGTTTTTGTTAGCTTATTTCCTGCATTATACTCTATTACTGTTATTTAAGAGGTATTTTCCCCTTCGTTATTTATCTTTTGACATGGACTGCTTAGACTAGTTTGGACTCCTACTGTTTTGAATTTCTTTGCAGCCTCAGCATATGAAACATTTAAACGTGGCTGCGCATATTTTTCTAGCTTCTGCATATGTTAAGATTTTAGCCACTTTCAAGGACTGTACAGTCGGTCACAAAAGAATTTGAACACCGTTACCAATTCAGAAAATTTACTTTTCCGTTGAGAAACAAACTGGTGGCTCGTCTCAATCTTGGTTCGATCAGATCACCAAAGGATGGTTGACGTCCATCCTGGCTAGGTGTCGAGAGAGAGAAAAGAAAACCACGAGCTATCTGAGTGAGCTAGGAAACAACATAACTACTCAAGCGATACAGGTTTGCGAGCAGAGAAAAAGGCAAACGGTGGCTGCGGCCCGACTTGGTTGGCGAAGAGCAAAAAACAAAAGGGTCTCAAGAGTCTATCTTAGTTGGATGGGAAAACAAAAGGATGGCTCACGTCAAATTTCTCTAGGTGTAGGAAAAATTAAAACATGACCTATCTTAGTGAGCTGGGAAACAAAATGGCTGCTCAAGTGATCGAGGTTTGCGTGCAGAGGAAAAATAAAAACCACAAACGGTCCCTACGCCCCGTCTCGGTTCGCGCAGAGAGAAAAAGAACAGAATCGTCTCACTAATACATCTTAGTTGGATGAGGAGAAACAAAAGAATGGCTCACGTCAAATTTGGCTAGGTGTAGGAAAAAATACAACACGACCTATCTGAGTGAGCTGGGAAACAAAATGGTTGCTCAAGTGATCCAGGTTTGCGCTCAGAGGAAAAAATAATAAACACAAACGGTCGTTACGCCCCGTCTCGGTTCGCGTAGAGAGAAAGAACACAGCGGTCTCTTCAGAAAGTGGTGAGAAACAAAATAGCTCCCCACCATCAGGGTTTGAGATGAGAAAATAAAAGGGTGGTTCTCAAACTATCGAGGTTTAAGAGCACGAAAGGGTTCGAGTTGAATGAGCTTTCGTGAGACTAGAGAAAAAAATAGTTTAGCTTATTCGTCAACATGTCCCGTTCATGACATCTTACACTTCTTTGACAAATTGCTTCGAAATATGAAAAAAGATAATATCCAGCTCGTGTAAAGTTCAGAAATCGCAAAATATTCCCAAATAATTCCTTTTCTTGAGAAAGCATATCCTGTGTCCAGATGAGGTAGAGGTAGAGAGAGAAAGCATGCTGCATCTTCAAGGACCAGCACTGTTCTGAACAGAAACACGGAATATTTTTATAGATAAGTGAGGAATTGAAAGTGAAAGTCAAAAAACGAAATCGGATCGGCTGGGAAAAAATTTTTAGAGGTCAGAAAAAAATTCCAAGTGGATAAGTTGTTAAAAAAAACTTTTTGTTAATTTTTATTATGTCTTTAGACATAATAAAAATTAACGATCTCCTTCCTTTTGTTGGGAATGATGACTCATCCTTTCTAAAAAATAGAATTCCAAGAAAATCAATGAGCTATGGTCTATTTGTAGACCATTGAGGTGTGAGGGAGGGTAGTTTGTGATATTTATTTCCATTTCCACGGCAGACAACACTCTTGTGATTTAGAGAGGTATGAGAGACGAGCTAGAGGATTTTTTTCCCGTTAACATTGTGAAAGGGATCGAGTCGGCTGGGAAAAATTTCTCAGAGCTCAGAAAAAAAATTCTCAGTCGGTCCCGAGAGCAGACATTGCTTTAGGGTAAAAAATACTTTTTGGAAATCTATTCCTGCTTTCGTCTGGATAGAAATGATTTTCACGAAAGGCATGTCCCATTTTCATTTCTCAAGTCGTTGTTTATAGTATGCTTCTAAACAGTTCCGAGTGAAATATTGTCAAATTTTCTCTTTATAGAGTGAAACTGTATTAAAAATGTTTTTAGTTCCTAATGTTGTTACGATACGACCCCCTCTCTTTGAACACTTGAGAAAGATCGTATCACCCTGGTATAGCTAAAGCGAAACTCAGAAGGCTGTCAACAAAAACATTTTTCAGATTTGCTTTCAAAAGCTACGAGAATCTAAAAGAGCTATGGGAATTTCCAGAAGGGGAGGGGCAGAAAAATAGATATCCAGGTGAGTCCACAGCATGAACTGCACGGAAGGGAAACGGGAAAGACTTCAATAGATATAACAGAGAGTCCATTCTTAAAAAATAGAGGGATGTCTCCTCGATCGAGTCGGCTGGGTAAAAACAAAATTCTAACAGCTGAGAAAAATGTTCGCATACCTTCATAATGGAACTTTCCAGAAAAGAGCAGTTTTTATTCAGGTCGAATCCATAGCACAGACTGACTGGAAGTCGAAACTCGAGTGGTTTAAATAGATAAGTGTGAATTCTTTCTAGAAAGAATTTTGTATGTCTTGCCAATCGAAAATCGAGTCGGCTGGGTACATACCCTTTTTGTTTAGGATGTGATGTCTCACCCTTTCTAAAAATAGAATTCCTAGAAAAACAAAGAGTCATCGCTTTCTTGGAAATCTGCTTTAGAAGCTTGTTGAAACATGTTGAGACCTGATTGGAACCAAAATAGGGAAGTTCAAGTAAATTTTTATTATGTCTAAAGACAGAAAGCTTCTTTTTTTTTTTTAAATAACTCAGCCAGCAAGAAATTTTTGCCAGACCCCTGAGAGTTCTCCCCCTCGACTCAAATCAAAACAAGACAATACAAAATTGTTTCTGGAACGAACTCTCACTATCTATTTAAACCACTCGCGTTTCAGCTTTTAGATCAGTCTGTGCTATGCACTCAACATGGATACACGCTTCTCTCTCCTGGAAAGAGCTTTTGTGAAGGTATGTGAACTTTGTTTTCCTACTCATTTGTAATTCATTAGACTAGAAATGTGTTATTAATTCCTTTCAATACTTTGACGTATTTTACATTTTAACATTTCTTTCTCTTCTTTCTTTTTGCTTTTCAGGCTTTACTTAAATGTTTTACTCAATAGCCTTTTTTATAGAAAATATGTTATTATTTCTTTTCAATACTTTGATATTTCGCTTTAAAGTATTTAAAGATTTGTTATTTCTATGTTTGTTCATATTTTGTGAACTTTAACATTTCATCCACAGCTGGCTAGACCAGTCACGATCAATGGATCACGATTGTTCCATCGTATACTGATATATTTTGTGAAACTTTAACAAATGACCTTTCAAGAAAGCAAGATCTCGTGATCCACAGCTGGCTAGACCGTCAGTGTAATCGGATCACGATTGTTCCATCGTATACTGATATATTTTGTGAAACTTTAACAAATCCCTTTCAAGAAGGCCAAGATCTCGTGATCCACAGCTGGCTAGACCAGTCAGGAAAACGGATCACGATTGTTCCATCAAGTATACTGATATATTTTGTGAAACTTTAACAAATTCCTTTCAAGAAGGCCAAGATCTCGTGATCCACAGCTGGCTAGACCAGTCAGTGATAATCGGATCACGATTGTTCCATTCGTATACTGATATATTTTGTGAAACTTTAACAAATCCCTTTCAAGAAGGCAAGATCTCGTGATCCACAGCTGGCTAGACGGATGATGGATTCGATTGTTCCATCGTATACTGATATATTTGTGAAACTTTAACAAAGTTTCAAGAAGGCAAGATCATCAAATAATTGTTCAATCGTATATACTGGTATATTCTGATAAAAAAACAGAATGATCCAATTTGAATACGAATATGGGTCTATATCCCAATATGTTTTATAAAATCAATTTCATATTTTGTAAAACTTGAAGACTGACTTTCAAGCTGGCAAATGGGTGGGTTTTTTCCCATGTGTAACGTGAATATGAGCCAGTTTGCCTTCAAAAGTTCTCCACGAAGGCATTTCTTAAGGCAAATAGGATATTTGTTGATCAAAGAAGGAAATTCCAGTGGAATGACTTACGAATTTTGAAAATGTTAGCCTTTGAATATTTTGGAGGAAACTCTATCCTTTGAGTTGATACTAGAACACCCCGAGTGCCGACATCGTTCTAAGAGAAATTTCCTCCGTTTGAGAGCTACGAATCCAAATTTACAATTAGCTTATACAGCTACGAGGAAATTGGACAATGCTGATCTGAAGTGGAATGTCTGTATACATCATATTGAGAGATCTATTTCTAAAGGATCTCAGAGAAAAACATTTGACGCATTCTTGAAAAAAAAAATTCAAATGTGTCGTCTGAAGCAGGCTCATGTTGAGAGATGAGAGATCGAACAACAGCTCTCCATTGTGTTCAGCTAGCGACCCGTTGTTCACCCGTATACAAACAGGAATGCTCTAAACTTTCTCCTACCTCAACGGTGTTGTTTGAAATGAATAGGACAAACAAATTGTCATAGCTATGAAATGAAACACAAAACCGGTGGATACTTTCTAGAATATGGACACTCGTACCCGGCTGGGTATACAGCATAGACTCAACGGAAACGAAACGGGAAAGACTTTCATAGATAACTGACGAACTTTCATAGAGAAAATTCAAACGTGTCGTCTAAAGCAGGCTCATGTTGAGAGATGAGAGATCAAACAACAGCTCTCCATTGTGTTCAGTGCAGTGGGCGACCCGTTATTCACCCGTAGACAAAAAGGAATGCT